GTCGGAGTACAAGCAGCGCCGCCTGGCGGGGGCTGAGGAGTGGGTCGGCGGCACCAAGCAGTGGATCTCGGTGAGTGGCCCGACCGCGCCCAGGACAGGGTGGCCTCCCGGGTGCCAGGCCCCTCCCATCCTGGGGCCAGCTGCTTCCCCGTACCCGGCCCCCAAACCAGGGAGCGGAGCCCAGTCAGTCACACCAAAGGTGGGGCGTTAAGATGGGGGGCTTGAAGGATAGACGGGGCTGTCCTTGAGCTCACTAGGGTGGGGGTCCCGGCGGGGGTGGGGGACGCAGCAGGGAGGGAGACCCCGCGTGGAGGGCACGGAGCCTTGCCACCGCCGCCTTCCCAACTCTCCTGCGCTTTTAGGTGAGAGCAGAAATCCTCACCACCTTCGCCCTCTGCGGGTTTGCCAACTTCAGCTCCATCGGGATCATGCTGGGGGGCCTGAGTGCGTGGCAGGGAGGACACCCCGTCCCACACAGGGGGCTGCGGCCTGGGCCTCCCGCAGCCCTTGGGCGCCACGGCGTGGGGGGGCCCTCCATCCTGGCTCAGGGAGGATGCTCCCCTCCCCGGTCCCTTTCTGCTCCCCCTCTGCCCTGCCCCTCCCAGCCCTCCCCGCTCGGCTCGCAGGGACCAGGGCCAGGGCAGGTGCTGGGTCTGGACGGCTGAGTCTGGGGAGCGCTGGGTGGCTGGGCTGTGACCTCACAGGGGGGTGTGGCGTGGCTGGTGGGGGGGGGGGACCCTGCTTCGTGCCCTGAGCGCCGCTCTCCTCGCAGCCTCCCTGGCCCCCCGGCGCAGGGGCGACTTCTCCCAGATCGTGCTGCGGGCGCTGCTCACGGGGGCCTGCGTGTCTCTGGTGAATGCCTGCGTGGCGGGGGTGAGTGGCCCGCGTGTCCCCGGTGAACGCCCGCGTGGCGGGTGGAGGTGGGCTGGGCCAGCTCGGGGCTGGGGCTCCCACCCCGGCCGCTTTCTCCCCCGCAGGGGTCCTGTACGTGCCCAGGGGGCCAGAGGTGGACTGTGCGTCCCTCCTCAACAGCACCCTCAGCAGCAGCAGCTTCGAGGTGTATCAGTGCTGCCGTGAGGCCTTCCAGAGGTGAGGGCCGGGGCGGGGGGGGGGGGGCCGGGGTGGGGACCCGGACTGGGCTGGGGTGAGGGCTGGGCACCAGAGAACAGAAGGTCCGGCTCCGGGGGCGCAGCAGCAGCAGCTGTGGCCACGGCCAGGGGAAGCAGACACCAAGGTGTGAGGATCCAACTTGGGGACAAGGGACCGGGCGTGGTGTGTCCCCCGCCCCCCCGTCCCCCAGCGGGAGGCTCCACTGCCCCATCGCCTTCTCCACAGCCTGGAGCTCGGCCCTGCGCTGGGCCCACAGGCTCTGAGCAACTGCTGCCGCTTCTACAACCACACGGCCTGCGCCTAGCGAGGGGCGCCCTCCGCACGCCTGTCCTCACCCTCCCTGCGCCCCTCCTCCAGGAGACCCCCCCCCCTTCACCTGCCCCCCCACCAGTGGGAAGGGTGTGGGGCAAGTGGGGGCAGAGGCCCTCTCCTGCCCCGTCTCCAGCAGCTCCTGGTCACACCCGACGCCTCCTCTCCCCTCTCTCCCCCGCACTCCTGGACCTCTGCCCTAGGATGCCCCCCCCCCCAGGCTTCCCAAGCAGGGTCCCGGGAACACTGGGAGCACCGTCCAGCAGTGCAGGGCTCCGAGGCCCGAGGCCCGCTCTGTTCAGGAAGTGCCGGGCTAAATAAAGTGAGCGCTGGTGGATCGATGCGGTGCCCTGCTATTTTAGAATAAGAACCTTTTTCTTGATATTGAGGCCTGAACTCGGGGGCTCCTGCTTGCCAAGACAAGGCGCTCTACCAGCTGAGCCGTGCTGCTAGCATTGTTATTGTCCAAGTAGGTGTGGGCTGTCCCGAGCCGGCTCCCAGCGCGGTCCTCCTACTCGTGTCTGGGGATGACAGGCCCTGTGCCCTCGCGTCCACACATTGGGGCGGAGGGGGGGGCAGAGGTGAGTCACCTCAGGAAAGCTATATGTGCACCAAGCTCACTCCTCCCTTTCCTGTGGACTAGAAGAGTGTATCTGCTTGTGCGCATGTGTGCATTCAGGTGCACGCGTGTGCGCGCACGTGTGTGTGTGTGTGTGTGTGTGTGTGTATGGGTATGGGTATGTAGTCTTGGGGCTTGAACTCAGGGCTTTGGTCTGTCACTTAGCTTTTTTGCTTAAGGCTGGCATTCTACTACTTGAGCCACAGCCCAACTTCTGGCTTTTTGATGGTTCATTGGAGATAAGTCTCATGGACCAGGGGCCAGGGGCTCACGCCTGTGATCCTAGCTACTCAGGAGGCTGAGAACCGAGGATCGTGGTTCAAAGCCAGCCCGGGTAGGAAAGTCCATGAAATTCCTTCTCCAATTAACCACCAGAAAACTGTGTCCAAGCCAAAAAAAAAAAAAAAGTCTCACGGACTTTCCTGCCAGGACTGGCTTTGAACCGCAACCCGCAGGTCTCAGCCTCCGGAGTAGCTGGGATTACAGGCGTGCGCCACTGGCACCACGCTCACCTTTCACTTACTTATATCCATTCCTACTGTATAACCAATGTTTTGCTTTGATCTCAGTTTTTTAATAATCCTACTTGCCAAAGTAATACATGCTCTTTTTTTGTGTGTGTGGGTTGTGGGGCCTGAACTCGGCCTGGGCGCTGTCCCTCAGCTCTTCAGCTCAAGGCTAGTGCTCTACTGCTTGAGCCACAGCGCGCCACTTCCGGCTTTTTCTGTTTATGTGGTGCTGAGGAATCAAACCCAGGGCCTCATGCATGCAATGCAAGCACTCTACCACTGAGCCATCTTCCTAGCCCCCGTGCTCATTATTTTTAAGAAGCCAAATCTTATAGACAACCTGCAGGAATGTTCTAGTTCCCTTTCCACACCGCAGTCTTCCTGCCCTTTGAGACTGGTGAGCACCCAGGTTTGCTCTGAGCCAGGATCCCTGCTTCTTCCCATTGTCTTCACCTGAGCCAGGATCCCTTCTGTCTGTTGGCCCAGCTGTTCTCACCATACCCAGAGCAGAGTCAGAGCTCTGCCCAGGCCTGATGGAGGCAGGGCAGGGGGCTGGAGACAGCCAGACCTGGGAGGAGATCCAAGAGAACACATCCTGGGCAAGAAGAGGCTGGAGAGGTGACGGTGGTCAAGGGAAAACAGAGGGTTCCTTTAGATGACAAGCTTTACAAAAGAGTGATTGATTCCTGAGCAGGGCGCTGACGTTCAACACCGCAGGTCAGGTGAGTATGCGGCGCAGTGCCTGGCATTGTGTCTCTGTGGATCCCGGGACGGGGCAGCCTGCAGTTGCCCTGGGAGCACTGGGTGTCATCTTGTCCTGGCCAAGGTCTGCGTCCAGGGGAGCCTTGCACCATGCGGAGTGCTTGGGCTGTGCTGTCACACGCGGCTGTTGGCAGGTTGCTCCTGCCATCTACTGTGTGACCCCGAAGGGAGTCCCAGTGGAGGGAGGACGCATGAGGTCCCGAGGAGGTTCAGATGGGCTGGGGCTGTGGGAGGGCACTCCGGGCACTGCCCAGGCTTGGGGCGGACCGCAGGAGGAGAAGGGAGGGGGACGGGGAACAGGGAAGTCAGCCCAGGGCTGGCAGCTGGCAGCTGGGGGGTCTGAGGTCTGTGCTAGGGCCGGAAGGGCTCTGGGCCTGGGAAGGGCGTGGAGGGGAGGTGGAGGAGCAGGGGTGGGGGCGCGGTCGCAGACCCCAGCCAGGAAAGCCGGGGGCTCGTGTCTGCCCATCCGTCCGCACAGCCGGGGCCCAGGCCAGGTGCTGGGTGAGGTAGGGCCAGGGCCTGGATTGACCGGTGGAGAAAGGCAGCCCGGGAGTCCAGCTCTGCGGCTCCGGTGTCCCCTGGGCGTGGCCGCGGGGGCTCCGCAGCTCGGCTCCCGTGGACCTGCGAGGCCCCCGTGGACCTGCGAGGCCCCGGCTTGGAGGTCTCGGGGTGGAGGCCGGCTCAGCACCGGCTGCGCGCCCGCGCCCTCGCCGCCCGGGACTGCCGTCGGGGCCTCGCGCAGCAGCGCCAGGCGGAGGCGGCCCCGCCCACACACCCACCGCCCCGCCCCTCCGCCCGCGGCCCCGCCCACACACCCACCGCCCCGCCCCTCCGCCCGCGACCAGGCCCACACACCCACCGCCCCGCCCCTCTGCCCGCGACCAGGCCCACACACCCATCGCCCCGCCCCTCCGCCCGCGGCCCCCGCCCACACACCCACCGCCCCGCCCCTCCGCCCGCGACCAGGCCCACACACCCACCGCCCCGCCCCTCTGCCCGCGACCAGGCCCACACACCCATCGCCCCGCCCCTCGCACATCGCCCCGCCCCCCACACATGGCCACGCCCCTGCACCTCGTCTCCCCGCGCACGCGCAGTCGTGTGGGCTGCTCAGTCTGGGCGCCACCGTCCTCCGGGGTCACCGCGGGGGGCTGGCCGCTCGCAAGGCCCGGCGCGGATTGCGGAGTCGGAGCCCGAGCCGCGGCGCCCGCAACGGTCGCGAGCGCAGCCGCCTCAGCGCCTCGCGACGGCGCGGCCGGGGCCGGGCGGGAGCCGAGGCGCACGCGGCCAGCTCCCCCTGCCGTCGGCGGCCTCCGCGCGCGGCCCCTCGCCTCGGCCCGAGCCCGGCGGCCGCGGGAAGGCGGCGCGGGCCGGGCATGTTCGGAGGGGCGTCCGCCGCGCGCCGCCCGCCCCGAGGCGCCGGGCGGGCCGTTTGCTGAGCGGACCGCGGCCGCCGCCCGCCGCCCGCCGCCCGGCATGGGCTGCGCCCCGAGCATCCACGCTTCCGACTCCCAGGACGGGACGGGCGGCCCCGACGCGCCGGGCCCCGCGGCGCCGCCGTCCTCGCCCGCCCCCCACGGACCCAAGACGGCCGCCCTGGCCCTGCCCGGCGGCGCCGGCCTCGCGGAGTCCGAGCCGCGCGACGGCGGCGGCGGCGCCAAGGTGAGGCGTGCAGCGGGCGGCGGCGGCGGGCGGGCGGCGGGCGCGGCTTCCCTCCCCGCGGGCGGCGGGCGGCGGGCGGCGGGCGGCGGGCGGCGGCGGCGGGCGGTGGGCGGCGGGCGGCGGGCGGCGGGCGGCGGCGGCGGGCGGTGGGCGGCGGCGGCGGGCGCGGCTTCCCTCCCCGCGGACGGTGGGCGGCGGGCGGGCGGCGGCGGGCGCGACTTCCCTCCCCGCGGGCGGCGGGCGGCGGCGGCGGGCGCGGCTTCCCTCCCCGCGGACGGTGGGCGGCGGGCGGGCGGCGGGCGCGGCTTCCCTCCCCGCGGACGGCGCTCCCCGAAGCCAGCGTCCCCCCCCCCCCCCCCCCCCCGCTCCCCGGCCCCGGAGGACTCGGCGCCATTAGGCCGCCGCGGACGCCCAGCCGGCGCTTGCCCGGTTTCCCGTCGGGCTCTCCTCTTGGGTCGCCCGCGTTCGCAGTTTCCCGCTCCCCGGGGTGGCGCCTGCAGCCCGCACCCTCAGCCCGCCGGGAGCGGACCCAGGCCCGGTGTGGACGGAGCTCCCGCAGGCCCCAGCCGGTCCCGTCCGTTAAACGCCTCGCGTCGACGCCCCGGGCTCTGTGAGCGCTGCGAGGTTGAGCAGAGGCGGGGAACCCCGGACACAACCGGAGAGACCCGGACACGATCCAGACACGACTGAGAGACCCGGGCACGACCCGAGAGACCCGGACACGACCCAGACACGACCCGAGAGACCCGGGCATGATCCAGACACGACCGAGAGACCCAGACATGACCCGAGAGACCCAGACCCGGACACAACCCAGACACGACCTGAGAGACCCGGGCACGACCCACACACGACCCGAGAGATCCGGGCACAACCCAAGAGACCTGGGCACGACCCGAGAGACCCAGACATGATCCAGAAATGACCCGAGAGACCCAGACCCGGACCCGACCCAGACCCGACCGGAGAGACCCAGACCCGGACACGACCCAGATGCGTCCCAGACATGACCTGAGAGACCCAGACACAACCCAGACACCACCCGAGAGAGCCGGACACGATCCAGACATGACCCAAGAGACCCAGATATGACTGGAGAGACCCAGACATGACCCAAGAGACCCAGATATGACCTGGACACGACTTAGATACAACCTCAGAGACCCAGACATGACCAGACACCACCTGGACACCACCTGGGAGACCCGGACATGACCCTGACAGGACCTGGACAGACCTGGAGAGACCCGAAAGGCCCAGATAGGACCCAGAGGTGTACCACTGCCTGCTCTCAGCTGTGGTCCAGAACCAGGCTTCCATCCCATCAAGAATAGGAGCCACGCACACGCCTGCCTGGCCACTTGGGGTTGCCACACACCCTGTGGTCATTTTTTTTTTTTTTGTCAGTTTTGGGGCTTGAACTCTGGTCCTGGGCGCTGTCCCTCAGCTCTTCAGCTCAAGGCGAGCGCTCTACCACTTGAGCAACAGTGCCACTTTCGGTTTTCTGGTGGTTTATTGGAGGTGAGAGTCTCATGGACTTTCCTGCTCGGGCTGGCTTTGAACCATGATCCTCAGATCTCATCCTTCTGAGCAGCTAGGATGACAGGTGCAAGCCACCTGCACTCGGCTGTGTGGTCACATTTTTAAAGTGTAAGCAGACTGTTTTGTTTGTTTGTCAGTCCTGGGCTTGAACTCTGGGCCTGCGCGCTGTCCCTTAGCTCTTCAGCTCAAGGCAAGCGCTCTACTACTTGAGCCATAGCACCACTTCCAGTTTTCTGGTGGTTTATTGGAGATAAGAGTTTCAGAGACTTTCCTGCCCGGGCTGGCTTTGAACTGCGATCCTCAGATCTCAGCCTCCTGAGTAGCTAGGGTGACAGGCGTGAGCCACCAGTGCCCGGCTGCAGACTGTTTTGTCTTGCTTAACAAGGACCTCGAAAGGTCCCAGGGTTGAAGGACCCGTGTTACACACCTAACTTTCTCAGTTTCTAGCAGTTGTATTAGGAGTTTTCTCAGTGTGAAGTGACTCCCTCCTGCAGCCTGACGGACAGTCCAGTTCTCTCCTCAGAGCTTCTTTGAGGAGATCCGTGGTGGCTAAGACTATCATGCCAAGATGCTCTTAATTGTAGTATCAGTGGGAAGCTTATACCAATGCTTACCAGACCGGGCTTTGAAGAGTCTCACACAGACCAAGCCCAGTATGGAAATTTCAACAGCTTTCGCTTTGTGTGTGTACTCACATGTGTGCACAAACACATGCACATGCACACACCCAAGTGAGTGCTGGTCCTAGGGCTTCAGCTTGGGGCCTGGCGCTGTCCCTGAGCTCTTTGTGCTCAAGGTTAGTGCTCTACACCTGAGCCACAGTTCTGCTTCTGGTTTTTTGGTGGTTAATTGGAGATATGTTTCATGGACTTTCCTGCCTGAGCTGGCTTTGAACTATGATCCTCAGATCTCAGCCTCCTGAGTAGCTTGGATTATAGGCGTGAGCCACTATTGCCCAGCTTAGCTTCCATGTTTTTTACTCAGGTTTAATATTGCCTGTTAACTTCAAAAGTAGTCCTTATAGTATGAGACCTTGGTTTTTACAGGCCTTTTATGGTAACCTAGATGTCCTAAAATTCACTACAAGCATCTTGTGAGTGTTCTGAGATGCAGCACTTTGCCCTTACGGTGCCAACAGTGTGTGCTAGTCCCTGAGTTGTGTTGGGGGCCAGAAACACATTCATCCCATTGTGCTTTGGATTCAGTCCAAGGACATACATACAGTAGGTGCTGAATAAATGTGAGCTTATTTTTTATTGTTAACTGAGCAACACTTTTCCAGTTCGGTTCTATGAGGCTTTCCAGATAGGCATAAGGTAATACTTAGTATTTCCAGAGGAGAAATCAAATTATAAAACACCACAGAATGGCCTGGAGGTGGGTTTTCAGATTAAACTGTGTGTTCTGCCCTGTAATGTATCTCACACACACACACACACACACACACACACACACACACACACACACACACACACACACACACACACACACACACACACACACACACGTATGTTCCGTGGTGGAGCAAGCAGACAGTATTCCATGAGGAAAGGGTTCAATGAGTCTGGGAAGTGCTTGGTCACACTAAGTTCAGTCAGTGTCTTGTATGCAGGACTCTTCAGGCAACTTAATTTCTTAAAATACCCCTGGAATCTCCAAGTGATTTTGAGTGTGTGCTACAGGATTTCCCAAACTCATTTGGCTATGGAACCCTTTTCTTACCCTTTGGGTAAATGGATCAGTCTGAGGCCGAGAGGGGCTGAGAGACCCTGTCCCACTTGGTTTAAGTTGAGCAGAAATTGCAGGGTGAGAGGCCTGTGTTTTAACAAAAAGCCAGGATACCCTTGAGGCAATGATTAATGTGTGGGGTTATTGCTTCTGCTCTTTTTGGAGGGGAGGGGGGTTAGTTGTGGGCCTGAGCTCAGGCCTGGGTACTGTCCCTTGAACTCTTTTGCTCAGGGCTAATGCTTTACCACTTGAGCCACAGCACCACTGAGGGTTTTCTGGTGGTTAACTGGAGATAAGAGTCTAACAGACCTTCCTTCCTGGGCTGGCTTTGAACTGCGATCCTCAGATCTCAGCCTCCTGAGTACCTAGGATTGCAGATGTGAACCACTGGCACCCAGCTTGCTACAGCTTTTGCCTCTGATTTGGCCATGTTTGGGCTGAATGAGTTCCTAGTCCCCGTCTTCTGCTGTCTGCAGCAGGGTGCGGGACGCCACCTTCCGTTGCTGCCCTGCCAGGTGCGCTGTTGCCTTGCCTAGCTGCGGGCGTGGTCCACACAGGGTGCTGCAGATTTTCCCCAACCTTGAGCACGAGCTCAAGGAGCTGGGCAGGATGGAGGCTCGCGTGCCTGCCTTCGCTGTGTGTGGTAGAAACCTTGTCTGCTGCATTCGTCCCTCCTCTGTTCCCTGGGCCAGCAACGGTTGTCAGCAGTGTGATGAGTGGAGCTGTGGCTCCCCTTAGACTCAACCTCCACCTCTGTACACGCTGCCCCCATACACACCTCTCACTTCTGATTGTACACTTCACCTCCACCTGTGTACACACCGCCCCACCTCTGATTGTACACATTACTTTCACCTCTTACATGTCCCCCACCTCTGATTGCACACGCTCCTCCACCCGTGACACTACAATGCTATGAGAAGTCTAAACACACCGTGCTGGTCAGAGGGTAGCCAAGTGTGGTGTTGCACACCTGAAGCCCAGGACTCAGGAGGCTACGTCAGGACTACCTAGTAAGTTTGAGGCCAGCTTTGTCTATACAGCATGACTTTGTCTCAGAAAAGGACTTAGGCTTGCATTCTGGCTTTGCTTTATTGCGGTGTAATTGGGACAGATCATGGATGTCATTTTCGAGCCACAGCTCTGTGTGTGCCTTGTGGGTGGAGCAGTCGGAAGGGTGGGTGGGCCTTATAATCGGTTGTCTGCTGTGGAAGCCGCAGTCTTGCCTTGTTTGTGGTTTTTCACCAATGGGTCATGGAGGAAGGATGCTATTGTAATCCTTTCACTGCGGAATACATTGTTAACGCCAAAATAGAGGTATACTGCTTTTCTGTCCAGTAAACCAAAACAGTTTGCAGTACACGTCTGTTTGTCTCGAGGGCCATATGTCTGTGCAGTCGAGGGCCGAGGCACAGGGGATCTCGGTAACGGCGTGCTTTCCGTTAGGACTCCGTTGTTTTCGGGCTGGCTGTGGGGGGTCTCTGGTCAGGCAACTGTGAACTGAGCTTGTTCTTCCCCTGGACATGCCTGTGCCAGCCGGGGCAGGGCTCCTGTCCACAGCCAGGCCCTGGAAAGACCTCCAGGCCAAGCCTGGCCCTGGCCGGAGCCCCTGGTTGGCTTGGACCAGGGGAGCCCGGATGACCACAGCAAGGTGCTTGCCCTGCCCGGAGCTCGCTCTGCCCTCTCTACCCTCTCTGCTACTGTGAAGCCAGCTGGCTACAAAAACGGAC